CAAGGATGGGGGCGGGGCTCGGCGGGGGGTCTTCGCGCGCCCAGGCCCCCGCTGCCGCCGGCCGGCGGCCGTGTTTGGCCGCAGACGCAGCAGGCAGCACATCTCTCGCCCGAAAAACCTGCTCTGCCCTCCTGCCCCGGCCCGATGCTCCCGGGACGGGCTGGCGAGCCGACCTTCGACGCCTGGTCAGATACCAGCCCAGCAACGTACGTGGGATGTGCCTAACCGAGCAGCCCCCCAGGGCAGGACAACAGGCACCCGCTGAAGTTCGGGCTGTGTCTGAGCACCTTGCAGGGTCGCCTGGGCACCCCGGGACGATGCCATCGCCCCCAGCCTGCCCTGGCTGGCCACCTCTGGCCCACGGTCACCTTTGGCAGAGGCGCTGGTCTGGCTGGCCTCGCTCTCTCTCTCCTCTTTTGGCTTTTTGCTCTTGTCTTTCCCTCTTCTCCTGTCCTGTGGAGAGAGACGTTTCCACAGTTAGGCAGGTTTGGATTTAACTGTCTGGGGGCAAAAGCGAGCCCCGCAGTCGCGGCCATCACTGTCTAGGGTCTGTCACTAGTGTTTTCAGGGCAATGGAAAGGGGCATCTGGGAGCAGGGGCATGGCAGAGTGGAGAGAGGAGGAGGAGGAAGAGCAGGAGCAGGAGCAGGAGCAGGAGAAGGAGAAGGAGGAGGAGAAGGAGGAGGAGGAGAAGGAGGAGGAGGAGAAGGAGGAGGGCCCACTGCAGTCCCCAGCCCCAGCAGACCTGCCTCTCTGCTTGGTACCTTCTCCTCGGCCGTGGTGGCTCCGCGGCAGTTGGGATCCCGAGGTCACACACGGTTGCCACCAGGTCCTCGGCAGCCAGCAGGGCCTCCAGGCTCACCCTCCCGGTGCCCAGGATCCTCTGAATGGGAGGGTCGCTGCGGAGCTCCCGGGGCTTCTCCTTCTTCTTTTTCAGCTTGTCCCCGGGCACAGTGCCCTGCGGGGCACCAGGGTGGGGACGAGCCTGAGCAGAGTGTCACGGTCCCCTTGCCAGGCACCCCTGTCCCACCGCTGCGTCCCGGCTGAGACGCGTCCGACCGCTGCCACCTCCAGCAGCAAGGAGAGGGCTTTGGCCAGCGCTCCAGCCTGGATGGGAGATCCCCAAACCGGGGCCCTCGTCCCTCCCCATCATGATTTTAGCAGCTGGGGCAGTGCACGAACTTTGCTCCCGCCAGCGTCCTACCTTCGCACCGGGCTGCAGCCCTCGCCCTGCCGTCCCCTTCTTGAGCGCGGCTTCTCCTGGATCGGCGACGAGAGGCCAGGAGAGCACCTGCCGGCAGAGCGGCGCGCGATGCTGCTGGCACCAGGGACCCCCGGGACCTGGCTGATCACGGGCTGCTTCCCCCGCGACTGTGCCACCACCCGTCCCTGGGCCCCACTCCACCACGCGCTCACCTTCTCCTCCACGACGGAGATGGTGGTGCCCGCCTCCAGGTAGGCCTTCAGCCCCACCAGGTCCAGGGCAGCGGGCTCCCGCCGGTAGCGTCTGCCCAGGGCTTCCCGGGGGTGGCGTACACCTTCGCTGCGCGGGGACATGAGAAGGTCTCAGAGGAGCGACCTCTCCTCCCCGAGTCCCGGCACGGGCCCAACAGGGACGGATTGTCCCTCCGCACGGAAAGGTTTGGTTGCAATATCGGTTCGGGATATGCCAGCAGACCCCCGAGACGGGCAGAGTAAGGCTGACCATGGGAAACAAATACTATCGCAATTCCAGGCCAAACAGCAATAAACGCAGCTATCCAACAATACCGAGCTACGGTTAATATCTAGGCTGGGTTTGTTCTTGCCTTTTTTTTTTTGTTTTTTTCTTTTCTTTTTTTCACAAAACCACAGATAGCTTGCAGGAACCAGAACACGGTTTCTTTGGGTGAGTGACTCGGACCTGCCGATGGGTCTGGAGATTTCCAAATCCTCCGGATGGGCCGGTCCCTTTTATTCATTGCAGCGTGGAAGCGACTATCTAGACTCCTCGACCCGTTACCACCTTGTTACGTCCTTCGGGGCGTTTTCCCCTTCTGGGGCTTTGTGCATGGGGCCCTCTGCTGTATTTTGGTCATGGGGAGCGGGCATG